ATATTTTCTGTTCTTGAGTGCATTAGTGGTTTGCACAGTGTTGTAAACCACCCGTATTTACATTCATGGAGACATTTCTTGATTGCAGACTTTAGCAGTGACACACCTGCCTTCTCAAAAGTGTCCTTGAGAGGAAAGAGGGTGTTTCTTCTGTTTAAAACCAATCAGATTGTTGATTTGGCAGCTTCTAAAGTTCAACACTTTGAATCAACTTCAGATGTAATCTAAGTTTCATTTGTCATGAAATAAAAAGGAAACAACCCTCGTCTGGTTATGGAAGTATTTGTCAGTTAAACCTCTTGAATTAAAGCTGAAAATCTGCACTCAACAATGAACTGATTAGAATATATTTGTCAGACGTCGCTGTGACCTCATAAAATAATTCTTGGGTTTAATCCTTTTAATTCAACAAAGGAACATTTTCTTCCACATTTGAACTTTAAATGTGCAGAAAGACAGTTTCATGCAGAATTATGGGTCATGTTAGATTAACGTTTATAACAAATGTACGCGCCAGCACTCAGCATACTGTAAATATCGTCATTTCCCAGCTGGTTAGTTGAAGCTCATAGCAGCTGTTCATGCCATTTCTATGTGCTCAGCAGATACTGTCATTATGTTGTAATTTCTTTCCTCCCTTTGACAAATGAAGTCATTTTGTTGCACACATGTTCTTTGCTCTCTGCTAGATGCTTCACTTCACTTTTAAAAGTCAGACCTCTAATGTTTAATCTCTGGTCTCTAATTTCCTTCCTGACTTTTCCCAGGAAGTACTTTTAAAGTTTAATCAGTTACAATCAATGACAGTGTGTGAAGGGGAACCTAAGAGAAAACGTGAATGTTCCTTTTTATCCTCTAATTTTTTTACAGGCTGTATTGCTGGTATCGTTAGCATTGTTCACCCTACCAGCATGGTGAAAGCTCTAACTTAAAAGAGAAAGACCACCACATATACAATAATATGCATTTACACACATACACTCACTCACACACACACACACACACACACACACACATATATATATATATATATATATATATATATACACACACACATATATGTATGTACTTTAAAGATAAATTCATCAAGCTAGTTTAAAATGATAAGGGACTGTGAAGGCCCAGTATAACAGAAAAAAGGGTCATGTTAAACTGAATAAACCTGAAGTGTAGACATGCTCTCCTTGTTAATGCTAATGTGGTCTCACTGCTCTCCTTCAGGTGCAAAGTTTCCCATCAAGTGGACCGCCCCAGAGGCCGCGTTGTACGGGAAGTTTACCATCAAGTCAGACGTGTGGTCGTTCGGCATCCTGCTGACGGAGCTGGTCACCAAGGGTCGGGTGCCTTACCCAGGTAAGGAAGGGGAAAGGTCAAACGGTACAGTAGAAGCTAAGCTCTGCTCTCTCAGCTGCTTTCACCTTGAGCCGCTCAGTCTACACTGATTAAGGGGCTAGATAAAGGGGAACTGCGAAACACTGAGCAGTTACCAAAGTACACACAGCTATCACAACAGGCAGCTCCTGCTGCTGTTTATGGGATTAAAATGTTCCTTTACGCTTGGGTAACCTTCGATTCCCTGCCAGAATATGAGCTAACCCTTAATTACTTCTGCTGCCCTGTGGGACAAGATACATTTTCCACAGAAACAAAAAGAAAGAGACTGGGAGAGGCTGGGGCGTACTCCGTATACAGCTCCATGCAGGGAGGGGGAACACATGTTTGACCAGATGGTGCTGGTGGGCTGGTTCTGCTGTAGAGAGAAGGTGAGGACGGTTAGCTTGCAAGTGAGCTGAGGGGAAAGCAGCACCTTAACAGCTTTATAAGGTAGTGGACAAAATAGCAGAAAAATGGACTCAAGAAAGAGAACTACCCTACCCAGGAGACTCTTGAGATGAAGATTATTGCCCGATTCAGTTAAAAACTGGAAGATTTCTCAGATCATCTGGAAAGTGACCCCTTAGAATTCAGCTGTTTTTAAGAAGGGAAAAGACATCATTTGAATTTACATTGAATTTTATCTGATCTCAGGGTCAAAATTATACAACATCTGTAAAATTTGGTTAAATGTCTCGTGGCAAGTTTTACTTCAACGCTTTTGGGAGCCAACAACAAGCTTCTAGCATAATTCAGACTGGATATTTGACTGTTCATTGAAGTAGGTTGGCATGAAGCATAGTCCACAAATTTTAATAGGCATGAGGTTGGTGTGTTGGGAAGGCCTCTGTGTTAGAACACAGTTTCAATTTTCTGGCTGTTACTTTGCGATGAAGTTGGAGAATTTGGAGGTAGTCCATTATTCCGTTCAATTTGTGCAATGTACCACGAGCCTCTAGCAGCACAACATCCCATGAGCATGACGCTACCACCACCATGCTTGACACTGTTACAGAGTTCAGCTTTGCCTCATCTTTACTACTGCAATAATATCTCTCATCATTGTGGCCAACTAATTCAATTCTTTGTCCCATTTGACCATAAAGCTTTTCTCCAGAAGGCATTTGGCTTCAAATTTTAGTCAACCACTGAGGGCAATGACTCTGTGTTCCAGCAGATTCCAGTTTTTGGCAGGTTTCGAGCCACAGTGGATCATGAGTTGTTCCTAAACAACCTAACCAATGTTAGACCATCAGAATAACTTTTACTTGAGTACAGTTGTTTCAACTGATGATCTGAATCAGCACTCGTCTAGAAATGGCTCCAGAAGACCTTCCCAACTTGTATAAATCTACAATTCTTCGTCGAGTTCCTTGTCCTTTCCCATTGTTCTGTATTGGTCAATATAAGGCTGCAACAATGCATTGAGTAACTCGAATAACTTGATTACAAAATGAGGGATTACAAAGAGCGAAGAGATGGGATTAAAGAAATTAAAGAGATGGTGAGCTCAGGTGGGGTCAAAAAAGGGGTTTTCTAGCATCCAGAACAACCAGCTGTAATCAACATTCAAATCTTTACTGAGAAAAAGCCGACAGGAATACTTCATCAAAGCACCTGATTAACAACCTCCAACATGAAGAAAAGCAAACTTTGTAGCTGCTTCCATCTACTGCTGTGTGTCTGTTTGATCACCTACTGAAAAGAAAATAAGCAAAGAGAGAAGAACACAGTAGGGTGACCACAGCAACAACCAACATAAGCATAAGTGCCAGTAAATAATGAATACTGAATGTTACTGAGGAGCACTTAAGACCAACAACGCACGACATGTTCAGACATGTTTATTTCAAAACTTTAGTAACACTATTTTGTAGATTTTGCTTTCTGTACCCACTTCTTCAGTTAGAGGTTTTAATTAAACAGATATTCATTAAACAGCCCTTTGCAGATTCAGCACGTTAAGAACTGATTTTTTGAATTTGATCACTGCGTGATCCCAGGCAGAGCTCCCGAGCGCTCTTTCTCACCTGCTTCCTGCATTTAATTTTCAGGTATGAACAACCGAGAGGTGCTGGAGCAGGTGGAGCGGGGCTACAGGATGCCGTGCCCACAGGACTGCCCCATTTCGCTGCACGAGCTGATGCTACAGTGCTGGAAGAAGGACGCAGAGGAGCGGCCCACCTTTGAGTACTTGCAAGCCTTCTTGGAAGACTACTTCACAGCCACCGAGCCTCAGTACCAGCCTGGGGACAACCTCTAACCCCCCGCTACCACCCCCCACACCCTGTTCTTGCTTTCTCTCTCTGTCTCTCTCTCTCTCCCTCTCTCTCTCTCGGGGTCAGCTCAAGGCCTGGACACGATTAGCTACAGCAGTGTTATATAAAAAACAAAAACAAAAAAACTATGGATCCTTTTCAGCCTGGCCTTTTTATGTTAGGGATGTGTACAGCTCCCTCAGCTCAACTTGGGTTCCAATACAAACCCCCTGACGACACCGCCCTCAGTCTCCGACACGCCCCCCTAGTGTCTGAACTCTGTAAATGCCATAGTTAACAAAGCTGATGGAACTGGGGTTAACTGGGGGTTGTGCTAATGCAGTTCCTTGTATTCAATGTAAATAAGAAAAGCTTGTTTTAGTTTGTCTGCTTCCGTTTCAGATTTTATTTTCTTCTGCACAAAAGTAATAATAATGATAAAAGGAAGTCAAGTACCTGAGGAGGCACAGTTAATCTGTATGTGTATTATACTGTAGCTTCTCTATTATTTTCTAGAGATTGAATTGGAAGGCTCTATATTTTTTCTCATTTCCTATAAAAGAGAATTCATCGCTTTATTCTCTACTTTTCAGTTACACGTGTTATTGCATAAAGTTTCTCCTGGTGAGCATGACACAGTCCACCTCTTTTTTCTTCTTCTTTTTTTTGCCTTCCCGTCACAAAAGCTTCTAGTTAGGCTGCTGCTGCTGCAGGTTCTTTTACAAACGATCTGCCACATTTTTGTAAATCACAGCAACGTACAAGGATTTTGACATATCCCTCATTGCTATTTGGGTGGAAATGTTTCTGTCTTTATACCACTGGTGTGTTATTTTGTAGCTGGGAGACAAGAAGGATTTTCATTTAAGAGTATAAATGTCTTTGATTGAGAATCTTCATTTTGAAACAGATCGTGGGGTTTTTCCTCCTGCACGTCCTCCACCCGAGCCTGCAGGATCAACAGGCTGCACCTGAACCAGGACCATCTTACCTCCTGAGCTGCTTCTTCTTTTATGTTTAAGTGACATGATTATATTGAGTCTTTGATTTTATTTAACCCTTTTAGGTGATCCTTCGAGAGACATTTGGACTATATGATCAGGGGAGCTCTGGACCAGTTCATGTCACAGGAGTCTGAATGTGAAACGCATTGAAAATAAATTGAAACCAGCTCTGGTCTGGTCTGGTCTTAATGCAGATGGTATCACAGCCTTTGGTAAATCCTCATTTTTCAGTTGTACAGCTAAATGGGTTTTAAGTGTCGCTAACTTCTCTCCTTTGTATCTTTCATTTCCATTTTTTATTAACATGACTCGTTTTGTTAATTCAGTGATTTGGCATTTGGAACTCAGAAAAGACCAATAAACATTTTACACTCTTTCCAAGACACTTATTATGACCAATGCCAGTGTTTTACATGTATGTGTGCACCTGCCTGAGAAACCAAGAGAAACTGCATGCTCACAGAGCAAGAGAGCCAGTGGCAGCCAGGCCCTCACCTGCTTTCCCTGTGCCCTCACACAACTTGAAGTGGTCAAAAGGTGGAGCTGAAAAGAGAGAAAGAGAAACTAAAAATAGATGCAGCAAAATGTGACAAATTAACTGACATGTTAGTACCAGCACAACTGGTAACAAGCCCTCACAGTCACAGGAGGCTGCTGTTGCTAGCAGCAGAGCAGGAGGAGGAATTTTATTCTGGATCTGGTTGTGACATATACTATCAACTAAAGATTTTATAGTATTCCCTGAAAACCTTCATTTGTCTTATAATTTCTTAAAAACATGGATTACACAGCAGTAGCAAATACATTACATTACTGTAGATGTCTTTCTGAAATTGCTGTAGCTAAGTTAAGGATATAATCCGCCTGCTGTTATCCTCTTCAATGAAATGTGCCAACACCGTGGGAGTTTAGTTTAGGTAGCTGCTCTGCTCTATGCCTGATTATCATGTTAATAGTGTGACATTCTCACTGCGTACAATTCTTGCTGGTACGCAGTGAATAACTTCAGTAATCACTTTGTTCAAACCAGTCTGTCTGTCAGATTCCATTCCTAGACTCAAGATCGATTCCAAGACTGCTCAAGAAGTCCTACCATTAAGTCTGTGGGCTATGTGCCATTAATATGTACCCCTACAGGCCTTTAAGCTGGCAGTAATTAAACCATTACTTAAAAAGATTTGATCCAGCTGTCTTAGCCAATTGTAGGCCACTCTCCAACCTTCCTTTTATCTCAATAGTTCTTTAAAGAATTGTTGTAAAGCAGCAACAGAGGAATGGTTTATTTAAAGAGTTTCAGTCAGTTTTAGGAACTCATCACTCAGAAGGTTAAAAATTATCTTCTTATGACCTGTGACAAATAGACCTATCTCTTTGCTTGTCCTGCTAGACTTCGGTGTAGCGTTCGATACTGTTGACCGTATTTTATTACAGAGATTAGAGCAGGCCGCAGGTATTAAAGGTCCTGCGCCGCACTGATTTGAGTCATATCTCTCTCCAATAGACTCCAGTTTGTTCATGTAAATGGGGAGTCTTATTCACACACTAAGGTTAATATTGGAGTTCCACGGGGTTCCATGTAGGACAAAGGTGTCAAACTCCAGGCCTCGAGGGCCGGTCTCCTGCAGGTTTTAGATGTGTCCTTGATCCAACACAGCTGATTTAAAGGCTAAATTACGTCCTCAACATGTCATGAAGTTCTCCAGAGGCCTGTCAATGAACTGATCATTTGATTCAGGTGTGTTGACCCAGGATGTTATCTAAAACCTGCAGGACACCGGCCCTCGAGGCCTGGAGTTCGACACCCCTGATGTAGGACCAGTTCTGTTTGCATTATACATGCTTCCCCTAGGTCACAGGTGTCAAACTCCAGTCCTTGAGGGATGGGGTCCTTGAACTTTTGAATGTGTCCCTGCTGCAACACACCTGAATAAACACCTGAGGTGGTAATTCAGCCATTTAATTGATGTTACAGCAGCTCATGAGTGAATAAACATGGTGCAATAAAAGTAC